ATCTGTATAAACTTACCATGCGTCATCCCAAGGGCTGTCTCTTATACACATCTAGATGTGTATAAGAGACAGGTGTGTGTGTGTGTGTGTGTTGTCATATTCACTATACACAGTTTCACTCAAAAAAGAAAAATTATGAGTGTGCCAGACTGTTGTCATCGGACTTTCACCGTCTCATCAGGGGGTTGAACCCTGACAGTCTGCCCAGGATGCATTTCATTGGTGGATGAGGTCTCACCACATTGCCCAGAGTTGGCGATACACTGGAGAGAGAAAAGTGGTTGACTTTACTCACACCAACCCTGCAAGCCTAGCTGACTGTCGGTTCAAACACCTGAGAAGAATGGCAGTAAGTCTGTGAAAGTAATCTGTCACAGCCAGTGTTGCACAGCCGGCGGTCGCCCCCCAACTGGTCGGGGGCCGACCAGCCGACCGGTCGGCCTGTGGGTACAGGCACCTGCCGGTCGGCAGGTGGTCGGCACCCTGCAGGGAAAACAAATAAAAATAAAGAAAAGAAAACAAAACCACGATAGTCCTGAAATATTTACCTCCCTACCACCCATATCCCCCTCATAACCTCCCTAACCCCCCCTAACAATCCCATACACCCCTCGGTACCCCTCCTATACCCCCATATCCCCCACGTGCCCTCGTTGATGCTTCTATACAAGTTTGCATGAGTCTGGCCATTGCCGTTGGCGTGCATATGTCGTTTTTGGACTTCAATTCATTTTAATAGATTTTCAATTGGTAATTGATTGAATTCTGTCTCGATTGTATCTTCGTTCACAAGTCCTGTACTCAGCAAGCGCAGTACAGTTCCAAACTCAGATTAGAAAAAAAAAATAAAAACAGTGGAAGGCTCTCTGTTGACTGGTCGGCAGACCGCAGACCGGTCAGCCCTACCGGTAGTCTGTAAAACAGTCAGCGGTTGAGGTCGGTGTCGGCCGGGATGCAACCCTGGTCACAGCCGTAAAACCCTCTCTACACACCCATTCTGATATGGATGCCCAGTGGCATGACTGCTAGTATGGTGTGTGTGTGTGTGTGTGTGTGTGTGTGTGTGTGTGTGTGTCTGCATGCGTAGAAGTCAGAACTTTTTTTTTTTTTTTTATTGAGTGGTAAGGAGACCACCAAATAAATGCTAACTGATTTAATGAGCCATTCGCAATGCAAGGAGAATGAGAGGTAGCGAAATGACAGAATCCAGATAGCACAATCACATTGAAAGCAAGAAAGTCCCACCGTGTCCAGATAAGCAGCATTGCACCAATATTACACCAATGGAGAATCGAAACACTGAAACCGGATGTCAATGAGAGCTTTACTCTCGTCCACACCAACATACGTATCCAGGCCCTCTCTCCCTACTTGGCGCTCAGCGCCCAGGCTACTCTCTACACAGCTACTTCCTGCCTACGAATTGACAATGCAACTGTTGATGTCAGCAGCCACCGAAGTCCTTGAAGATGTCGACCAATGCAGACCATCGCCAATACCAAGTATGCGCCCTCACATCATCATCCTCATCTCTTTCTCTCTCTCCCTATCCTTGTCCTCCTCCCACGTCTTCTCCCTTATGCACGAAGACCACCACCACCTCCACTGGCTGTCCAAGCCAAGCCCTGGCTATGTAGGGCTGGCTATGGCACTGCCCTCGGCAGCGCCCTGCCTTCTTCCAGCGCTAGCGCACAGTGCACAGCCCGCAAGCGCATGCCCAAGCAGCACTGCCGCATGCACTACCTAGTGCCCGAATGCCTCCACCAGTGGCGAGCCCTTTCCTTTATGGAAAGTGCTCGCCCAGTCTGCTCCCTGGCTGGGCCTCGTGTATTTCCAGTAGCTTCTAATCGGGCCAAAGTGTCTGCACCCAGGCCCATTCAGACAGTGGACTGGGACCGAATTGGTTGAGCCTGCCCAACCACCCATGAGTAAACGTGAGGTTCTCCCTCCTTCGCCTGTGCTGCTGGAAGAGCCTAGAAGGCTCAAGAATTATTTTTGATTCTCACGAGTATGGAGGATGTAACCAACTGGCACATGGCAACTGTCTGGCGCCCACCAAACTTTGCCAAAATTGACGAACTCAGGCCATATTGAAATTCAGGGGCCCGCCTTCACTTAGGGCGGGCTCATGCTTGCTAAAAGGGCCCTACAGGGGCATGCCAAGGAGCCAACTCGTAACAAGGCCTTGTCGAAGATCCATGCCCACATGGGGTTTACAACAGGCTCTGCTGGGCCCCTCAGCCTGGTCTGATAGTCCTATAAACAGGCATTGGCACATATTTGCAGGCCCACCTTCACTTAGGGCGGGCACGACACTTTCAGACACTGCCGAGGGCATAAGTCAGAACTAATTCTCAAATACCTGGAAGTTTTTAATTTGGTATATGTTTGTGTTTTCTTCAATATTTGGTGCAATGTAAGTATCTGGTGCACTGCACAGCGCATTGTATGGGTAGGTGACCAGTTTTGTTTAAAGTTTGTGGCATCTTGTTATAGGCCTATAAACTTGTATGCAATTTACTGCTCTATTTGTGAAAGGTCCATTGCCTCCAAACCTACTTCTTGAACCTCCTTGTTGCATGGGGGTGGACTTGCTGAACCTTGGGCAATAGAAAATTGAAAGAATGGTGGCCAATCGGAAGCAATGGACATGAACAAGTGTTATCACGACCCGATGGGCCTGACCATGGCTGTTGTCGGGCCGCCACCTGAGCAGGCCATGCAGCCCTTGTAGATTGACACAAAATTCCGAAGTCGTCGGACACAGTGGTGGTTGAAGTACGTTATTCGTTGACATCTTCTTGCCTAAATCTCAGCCTCTAAATTACTTTTCCTTCTTCTGATAATATTTTATTCAATTTTATTTAGTTGTGCAACTTGTGCTCTTTTTTTCTCTCTTTTTTTAATTATTATAGACAGGTCCATGTCTCGGTAGAGGGTGGATGCTATGCCTCGGGAGGTGTCTGTCATCATACTAAACCAGTGAGGGGACCGGATGGCTTGTGGCAACCCCAAGGACAGTCTTCCTCCAGGGGGTGTTGTTTGTGACCTGTTTATATTTTAATCTTATCGCAAGTCGCGCCCTACAGCGGTGCGACCCAGACCCTTTCTATCCAGACCTAGACCTACACCAACCCGCGCCTTCCGAGGGGTCGTGTGCTCTTGGTTAAGCGTTTTTTTTTTTTTTTTTTTTTTTGCGACCCAGACCCCTTCTATGTAGACCTAGACCTACACCAACCCGCACCTTCCGAGGGGTCGTGTGCTCTCGGTTAAGCGTGTTTTTTTTTTTTTTTTTTTTTTTTTTTTTTTTCTCCTAGAATTTTTTTTTAATCTGTTTTCTTTTCTCTGAAAGGATTCACTTCTCTCAGAGTCCGGTCCTGGTACCAAATCCCAATTTCCCCCTGTACCGTAGACCTTTGCCACAGGCGGCACTAGAAACTTCCAGTGGGTACTATACCAAAGGCCGTACAGAAACTGGTAGGCTATGATCCGTACAAGTCAGTCATTATGTACTGGATGTGTGTGTGAGTCCCTGGTCAGTCACAGTGCATGGAAAGTCCTACGCTGGTCTGAATTGTTGCCTTCTTGTGGGAAGCTTTGTGCTACGATGCATGCATGTGGAGTGGAGTAAAGCGAGTGTGAATTCCGCAATCATCGCATCTCAGCAGGTTGGGTCCAAGCGAGTACAGTTGTGGGTCACCAGTACGAGTGTGGCATACTGATACGACATGGGTCCCAGTTGGGCCCGGTTCTGTTGTAGGCACGGTTTAGGCCTAGGTACCGGGTCACGAGGGTCCCAGATAGGTCCAGGTAGGCCCAGGAACCGTCGGTTCAGTTTAGGGTCCGGTAGGCCTCGTTTAGACCCCACCAGACCCAACGGCTAGTTGGAGAGGCCAGGTACCGGTCCATCGGTAGGACCGGCCGGCGGCGCAGTTTAGGCGCCACTGATTCAGATTTCGAAATCGGATCTGAACCGTTAGGCCCGATCAACGGTCCAGACCCGAAGGCACTCAGTAGGCCTGAGGCCGACCCCGCAGTACATAAGCTGGGTACCAGCCTCAGTCAGGCAGGTTGGTCGACAGTCAGTCTGGAGGTTAGGCTACGAGTTAGTCTACAAGATTAGCGCAGCGTTTGGAGGTTAGGCTACGAGTTAGTCTACAAGATTAGCGCAGCGTTTCAGCGTTGGAGAGATTAGTGCAGCAGCAAGGAGGAACAGCACAACAGCGAGCTCGCGCAGCAAGCAGGAGCAGCGCCGGCCCTCTGGCCCAGCCCGTGGCCCAGCACCCAGCGCTGCAGCGCCATCGCTGCACCGCCAGGTACCAGTGAGAAAAGGCCCGCCTTTCCTCCCTCTTCCTCCCCCTCTGCTCTCGCTCTCTCTCTCCCTCTTTCGCTCGCTCTCTTCCTACCTTCTGAGTCTCAGTCTACTCTCGGGTCGCTCCTACTGGACTACTACGACTATGGAAGATGGTGACGAGTTCTGATGACAGTTGAGATAGTAACATTGAGACATTGGTTGAGGACCACGTTGGGATCCGACTTCATCCACTTCTAGGGATGTATCTTGATAATGGGAGATCGACACCTGGCACACTGTGAGACTTTGTATTCACGACATGGGACACTGTGAGACTTTGTATTCACGACATTTCGGATTTGCGTTACTTATGACTCTCGAGATACAATTTCTGGATCCATGGTGTTGACGTCAACTTCCCTCTCCTCCTCCTTTCGTCTCTCCTCTCCCCCCATTTGTCCGTGTATGATCTTAGACCCTGGCCTTTTCTTCTGTGTCCAAGGCCGGGCTTTCACACTACGGATGCATGTTGAGAATGTTTCGTTGCAGTCTGAGTCAGGTCAGAGTCGGTCCATTTGTACCAAGTCTTCCGCTGTATTGTATTAACTCTGTATTATCTGGTCGGTTCTGGGAATCTGCGCCATACTTATGACTGTGTTTCACGAGTATGCAACAACGAGCCTCCTCTACTGAAACTTCTGGCAGTATCCAAGGAGGCTGCACTTTTGATGTACCGGCCTTGGGGGGGCTCCCGTCTTCTGCCGACTAGAATGCGTGGTCATTATAGCTGTATTTTGTGCAACTTTCTGTCTGGATTCAGTGATAATGACCTGGCATCGGGTCAAGATAGTAGTTTGATTTGTTCGGGCGCAGAAGAACTACATTCAGAAGCTTAGGGTATATGCCATACTGGCACTTTAAAATGTGTCAGCTCACCTTGCGTATTGTAGCCTACCATTTTGATTCTCCCTGCCTTCAATCCACTTTCAAATTTCAGTCCGCGGATGCACGTTGAGCACACTAAGAATGATTAGAGTTTCCATCAGTGAACGTGGTACTTCCACGGAGCGCAATTCACCGGTAATTTTCATGTGTGGTGCGGATTTCAAATTTCAGTCTGGGGATGCACATTGCCCACACTAATAGTGCTTATAGTCTCCCTCAGTGATAGTGGTGCTTAACGAGTGGGCTTGCCTACAGACAAGCAATCCATTTTCTCTCCCACGGAGCGCAATGCATCGGTAATTGTCATTTGTGGTGCTAAGCTAGGGCTTCAATATGATAAGCCTTTAGAGTGCAGTGCCGTTTTTGGATTCCCATCCATGCACGCCCTATCCATCGTCTTCCCCCCCCCCCCTCCATTTGGCAGACAAATATGTATGTTTATCCTGCAGGCTTCTGACAGTTGTCTTACATTGTGTCGTGGCTCTGTCGCTCGTCTTGTCTTTGTGGATGTTTTCGATTCTGATATCTGTCCCATGCAGCAAGCACTGATTTGACTGCCAGAGCAATCTTCATGGCAGTGGATGGCTCCAGTTTGGATGCTGAAACCGCACAGGTATTGTTCTTTGATTGACATCATCTCACAGGCGACCTGATACAACCCATTCCTTGTTGTAATATTCCGTGCAAAGCTCCTCGATTTGTGGTGTCATTTTGACGAGGTGCACATGGTTGACGATTAAAGGTGTAAAGTATATTTGGAGCGGCCCATTTCTTAAAGTCTTCCCAATAGTACAACTCCACGGGTACCCTCTACTTGCTCATGCTACGATCCTGCTCATCGGATGATGCAGAACTTTAATGCGGGACAATGCCATTCATCACCAGTCAAATAGAAGGAGAATGAATTCAGGAGACAAGATGGATAGAGAAAAGAAGAAGAAGAAGAAGAAGAAGAAGAAGAAGAAGGAGGAGGAGGAGAACGTGTTTTTGCTTAACAAACAAACATGTAGAAAAAAAACATCTCGATACCTGATGGCATTTCTTTTTTTTGTTGGTTTGATGCCACATGTTGATGCAGCTGAGGAGTTCCATCAAGCAGGCATTTGAGGTTGTGCTCTGTGATCCATCTGGAAGGTTGAATCTTGCGGCAAGAATGACGAAGAGCGCTATGAATGAGGTGACACCGCTCGTCTCCCAGTGCCCATCAATAGCGAACCACATAAAACTTTTCAATGAAGCTGGATGAAGGAAAGAAAACTTGTTGGGGAAGCATAACACAAAGCCATGGAGACCAAGTACATGGACCCGGCCATCAATCCCATTGCGAAGAGGGTTGCAAAATGATTGCAGAATTTATAACTTGAACGACGTTCAACAAGCTGGGAATCAAACATTTTATTTGGAATGTCGTTAGCAATGCGAAGTTGCGAACCTCCCTGAAGCGTCGATGAGAAAATGAAAAGGCGGAATCGGGCACTAATGAGCTTCCACACAGGCAAAAAAATTGGAGGTGGCACGAACGGGCCTAGCTCAGTTGGTACACGTTTGGACTGTTTAATACAGACATAAGTTGAATCCTGATGGTACTAAATGAATTAATTCCTGAATTACCTGGGGACGGTCAGTTCCCTTATTACATCCAAAGGCGGTCACCCTTAAAAAAATAATAAGAAAATAAAATTTATAAAAAATGGAGGTTGCACACACACGAAGTTGGAGGAGGCACACGGGCTAAGCTCGAAGAGGACCAGGTGCATCGAGTTGACCAGTAAAGTCACACTTGGGACCTTTTAAACGTATCGAGAAAGGATGAGGGATTTACCGTCAAGAAAGTGGGTTATGGGGAGTGACCCCATGATTAATTAGCCTCTGTTACATGCAAGGGAATCCTTTTTTTGTACATTTATGTGTGGGTGGGCCTGTAGGGGGGTGTGGAGGGTGGGGCACATTACTCGGATTACATTTTATTCAAACAACCCTACTAAAGCTTATCGGTTGCGGCACCGACTCTCACATCTGCAATGGTCCACGTTAGTATTTTTGCATCGCGAAGCGTGAGACGTCCGATGTAAAATTCTGACGCGCGATCGTTTGCATCGCGAAGCGTGAGACGTCCGATGTAAAATTCTGACGCGCCTGACGCGGCATGCCTGACGTGTCTGACGTGTTTGCCGTTTGTTTTTTTCTCGGGCGAGTCCGGTTTCGTTTCGTTTTTGCGTTCTCTTTTATGCTTTGGGCCTCGCTGCACTACTCTTGAAATACGGACAGATACACGGTCATGATTTTTGCTTTTTGTGGATGTCGAGAGTAGTAGAAGATTGAGACGTCCGATGTAAAATTCTGATGCGCCTGATGCATCTGACGCGTTTGGTGTTTGTTTTTTTTCTCGGGTGAGTCCGGTTTCGTTTCGTTTTTGCATTCTCTTTTATGCTTTGGGCCTCACTGCACTACTCTTGAAATACGGACAGATACACTGTCATGATTTTTGTTTTTTGTGGATGTCGAGAGTAGTGAATCTTCCGCTAGAATACGGACAGATACACGGTCATGATTTTTGTTTTTTGTGGATGTCGAGAGTAATGCAGTGAGACCCTTTGTCGTTGGCTGTCAGTGGGTGCTTGGGGCCGGTCGGTGGGTGCTTGGGGCCGGTTGGTGGGTGCTTGGGGCCG